GAGGCTGAGGCAGGAGGATTGCAAGTTTGAGGCCAAACAGCAACTTAGTGAAGTTCCTGTGTCCAAATAAAAAAGGACTGGGGATGTAGCTCAGTGGTAAAATGCCCCTGGGTTAAATCCCTAGTACCAAAAAATAAGTAAGTAAGTAAATAAATAAATAGTTTTAAATTTTTTTGTAAAAATTAAAAATATAGTTGGGGATTCTATATTTTGTGTTCTCCAGGAAGCTACCCCTAACTACTCCTAAATGTGGAAGCTTATTGCCTGTGGTTTATATGTGATTTTTAATTATTTTTATAGATATCCTGGGTAACTCTGTGTGTGTGTGTGTAAATATATGCATAAACACATACACACATATCAAGAATTATAAACTGTTACAGAGTCCCTATCTGCCTTCATATCAACATGAACATCATTATGTTAATAAATACACATCTTTGTTTCTTACCTACAGAATATTGTAAATGTAGAAGTACTCCAAAAGCATGTTCATTCTTAACAGGACAGGCCCACTGCTACCTCAAGACAGCAGTACTAGCCTCTTTCTGGGTTGCTCTCCCTTAGATATTTCTGTGACTTCCTCTCAGCCCCTTGAAGTCTTGAATTAAATGTCCTTTTCTCTTCCTGTGTTCATATATGAATACACCACCAGTGAAACAACCACAAAATGTGCAACCACAAAAATGGGATCCTAATTAGAATAAGTTATACTCTATGTACGTATAATATGTCAAAATGCAGTCTATTGTCATGTGTATCTTAAATAATAAAATAATAGTTAATAGTAATTCTAAAAATAAAACATTTGCCAAAAAAGTCACTTTATCCATGAAGCCTGTCCTTATGACCCTATTTAAAATTGAAAACCTTTCTTCTCATATTCCATATTTCCATTTTGTTGCTTTTATTGTTATTCCATAAGGCATACTGCTTAAATACTAGGTGTTTTACTTTTTATATTGATTGTTCTCCTTCCTGTCACTAAAGTATGAGTGCCATAAGGACAGAATTTTGTGTTTTTCATTGCTCATCCTAAGCACTTTTAAGTGTCTGGCTCAATAAATAAATAGTGTATGATGATTTATCATGCTTAACAGATCTGGCTGCTGTGTGGAGACTGTATTGTAGGATTGCAAGCATATACATAGGAAATTCAGTCAGGTGGGTACTGAAATAGTTGTTTTGTTATGAGTTGTTTAACTATTACAAAGAATGTGGAAGAAATATAAAAGAAAAAAACTTGCCCTCGGCTGCTACCCAACCCTCCTATCTCTACCCCAATACTATGTAAGCTCTTGGTCTCTGCTATGGCCTATTCTATTCATAAATACTGAAGATCTGTGCTTTACCAGACTCCTTGGTTATGGGACTCTTGTTCATGTCCCAGTGAGTCCCCAAATTATAGAAAGCTTATAAGTTAACCAGGAAAAGCTGAAAAAGCATTCTAAGACAATAAAGGAATATAAGTTATCACTAAAATCTCCTATTTAAGAAAAAAGGAATACAGAACTTCCTATTACTTAATATAAAACAATAATGGTAATGATAAAAGCTTAGAGTGGTAGAGCTAGAGCATAATGCTGTGTGCTTTAAAAAGTCCCTATTTAATGACATAGCAGAGTGTCAAGAGTCTGAAACATTGTTCAGTCCTTGACCGTTAAAACTAAACTTCATTAATTCTTAGTAAAGCCATTCTAACAATCTGACATTTTGTGGATAGATCATAATTAGGGAAGAATGAAAATTCCTCTCTTCTCAATTGCCTAGTTGTATTGGTCATTTGTGAATGACATTTAATAGAAGTAGTAATAAATAGTAAGAACCCTTTCCTTGATCTTGTCAGTGAGAATTCTTCTAGTTATTTGTTTTTATGCTTAGTGCAATGCTAACTTTTTCTTGCAAATCAGAAGTGAATGTTGGGTATTATCTATTACTTTTGAAGTATCTATATATGTCCTTTATATTATGAACTATTAATATAATACTAATTTTAGGTGTTATTTTACTGTAAATAGTACATGTGTATATGGTACAACATACATAGCAGAAAATTACAATTTTAGCCATTTTTAATGGTTAGTTTGGAGGCATTTAAATACATTCATATTGTTATGCAGCAGCCGCTGCCACCCAATCTTCAGAACTTTCTCATCTTCCCCAGCTGACACTCTGCCAATTAAACACTCCCCCCAATCTCTGGCAACCATTCCACTTTATGACTCTGAATTTGGCCACTGTAGGTATGTCATTTAAGTTCAATCACACAGTATTTATTGTTTTGTGACTGGTTTTTTTTCACCTAGAATAACGTCTTCAGGTTCCATCCACGTTATAGAATTTCCTTTTTTGACTGAATAATATTTCATTGATACATTTGCCATACTTTGTTTATTCATTTATCCATTGATGTACATTTGTATTTCTTCCTCCTTTGGGCTATTATGAACATTGCTGCTTTGAGCATTGGTGCACCCTTTCAGTTATACACCATGAAGTGGAATTTGCTGGATTAAATGGTAATTTTGTTTTTTATTTTTTGAGGAACTGCTATACTGTTCTCCACAATGGTTGTGCTATTTTATATTCCCACCAGCCCTGAAAAACCTCAGCATAATACAGGCCATACATGAATAAACTGACAACATCATATTCATGGTGAAAGACTACAAGCCATTCTTCAAAGATCAGGAACAGGGGAATGATACCCACTCTCTCCATTTCTAATCATCATCACTTTTGTCAGTTTTATAAATATTGGACAGTTTAGTTTCCCATTCTCTTGTTGATGGAGATTTGGGTTTTTCTCAATTTTCTTCTGTTGTGCATAATGTTACTCAAAGCATTATGGATCTTGTAAACCTTTGTAAGGCAGATTTACCTAAGTACTTTTATCAGCTAGATTATGCTAAATCACAATCTGTTTATTCTCAGTTGTACTAAACCGTTTTCACAATATTTGTAGCAAATATCTCTCCCACTAGCCAGCCACATGTGAAAGTTCTCATTACCTTAACAAAATCTGAAACTATTTGAATTTTTACATTTTGTTATGCAGAGATATGTGTTAATGGTATCTCTTTACACCTCTATTCTGCCTTCCTCTGTATACCACCGAGATTGGGCATCTTTATTTATGTTTATAAACCATTCACATTTACTTTTAATAAGTACTTATTCAAGGTTTTGCCCATTTTTCTAATGGGCTGGCTTAGCTGTTTCATAGACATTGTTTTATAAGTCCAGGACAGGTTCTTTATGGGTCCTGTGTTGTACATCATCTCCTGGTCTATAGCATCTGTTTTCTGTTTGTTTTGTGTTTGGTGGGGGGAGTGGTATCAGGGATTGAACTCAGGGGCACTAGACCACTGAGCCACATCCCCGGCCCAATTTTGTATTTTATTTAGAGACAGGGTCTCACTGAGTTGCTTAGTGCCTAGCCATTGTTGAAGCTGGCTTTGCACTTGTGATCCTCCTGCCTCAGTCTCCTAAGCCACCGGAATTATAGGCATGTGCCACTCCACCCAGCTATTTTTACTTTCTTCATGTCTTTGGTAACTGGAAACATTTAGTTATCTCAACATTTATTTACCCTTTTGGTTTTTATGCTACTTCTTTTGTTCTCATTCTCCTCTTATTATAATTTTAAAAAATTATTTTCTGAATCTCTAGATACTTTACAAACTCAATATTTTCTGTGTATCATGTATCTTTCAATGCAGGCAGTTCTTTCTAGACTTTATTATTATCTAACCATGTGAATGGATTCTGCTTTGCTTTCTGGGTAGCATTTTATTCCCAAAGAACTTGAATTGGATAGCTGGATATGACCATAGTGAGGTGGGCCAGATACCACTGTCATTTCATCATATGTTGCTGCAAATATTTTCATATTTAATTGCATAGATCTTCTCTCTCAGGGTACTTTGTGGGGTCTTGAATTTTTTAGCTTTTCCCTTTTTATGTTTTTTATATAAACAGGTCAGGTTGGAGGGGAACCCATTTAATGCCTCTCTTGCTTCAGTCAGGCCTGTGCTCACAGCCTTTAGATCATTGATTCATTGTCTTATCTCTGCTCTCTTTACTTGGATAAGCAACTATAATCCTGAGATTATAATTTTCTATTCTCTCCACCCCCATTGTCTATGAGATCTGAGAAAATAAAGTCTGAGTGACTCCAATTTCCTTCCTTTAGGCCCTCTCCAGCAGCTCAACAGTTCTCCTTTGCCTGCCCCTGCCATGCCACTAGTTCTCACCTTCCTGGAGAAGATATTTAGGAAAGTGTAGAACTCTTTAGGATTGTCTTAACTCTGTGAGCCTACTTAAAGTTGAAGGAGAAAAAGCCTGTGGATCACATCAGTTTCAAGTATGTCTAGATATTTTTGTTGCAAACAAGTCTGTTGCCCAAGAGTAGTTTGTGTACATTATCTTACCTAGTCCTTATACGATTTTCTTTACTTGTAATTTAAATCTGTGAAAAATCAGACCAAGAGAAATAAGGAAAAAGTATTAAAGATCATGGTTTGAACCCATTTTTCTGACTCTAGGATCAACAGTCTTTTTACTATGTCACATTGTGATGCTTTATGAAGATTATTTGGTACATAATTCTAAGCAGCCTTATGGGAGAAAAAGAAACTGCTGGTAGGAATATCAAATATGAGGTAGCAGGACTTTCTGTCATCTTCCACCAATCCTAGGTCTTCTGAATATTTTCCCTTTGTTCATCTTCATTGTTTGTCCATCACTCCTTAATGAGCTCACTCCTTTCTCTGCTTGCCCCGTAGATCTTCTCTCTCTTTCTTCTAGTTCCCTTGTTTTCCATCAATTGGTTCACTGTTTTTTCCTTCCTTTCCAATTTCTCTATGTTATTGTAAAGGTATCTTTGAAAGTTCTAAAACATATCTAATAGTTATTCTAGTTTAATTTCTCATTACTACCTTATACAATTTTTTTGTCTCCTAGCATACAAACCAATATGCCTTTGAATTTTTTTTCAGATTGGGAAAACAAACAATCAGCTCCAAAACCCAGCATTACTGAAGATTTATCCCATGGGGTCATAATGGAAAGGGAACATGTCTGGCATTCAACCTTAGGGGAAACCTGGGAACCTGGACATTGGTTAGAGGGGAAACAGGAGAAACATCTGGGCCGAATGGCATTTACCCACGAGGAAACCCTCACAGAGAGAAGGGTATGTAGAGGGAATGAATTTGAAAGATTTTCCAATCAGGGTTCAGTCCTTGATACACCACAAAGCATTCCCGTGGCAAAAAGATCCTATAATTGGATTTCACAAGGAAAAGACACCAAACAAAATTCTGAATTAATGAAAAATCAAAGAATGTTTGTAGGAAAGAAAATCTATGAATGTAATGAATGCAGGAAAACCTTCAGCCAGAGCTCATCACTTCTTAAGCACCAGAGGATCCATACTGGGGAGAAACCATATAGATGCAATGTATGTGGCAAGCATTTTATTGAACGCTCATCTCTTACTGTACACCAAAGAATTCATACTGGAGAGAAACCTTACAAATGTAGTGAGTGTGGGAAAGCCTTCAGTCAGAGCATGAATCTTACCGTTCATCAAAGAACTCATACTGGAGAGAAACCTTATCAGTGCAAAGAGTGTGGAAAAGCCTTCCGCAAGAATTCATCCCTTATTCAACATGAAAGAATTCATACTGGAGAGAAACCCTATAAATGTAATGAATGTGGGAAAGCCTTTACACAAAGCATGAATCTTACTGTGCATCAGAGAACTCATACAGGAGAAAAACCCTATGAATGTAATGAATGTGGAAAAGCCTTCAGTCAAAGCATGCATCTTATTGTTCATCAGAGAAGTCACACTGGAGAAAAACCTTATGAGTGTAGTGAATGTGGAAAAGCCTTTAGTAAGAGTTCAACTCTTACCCTACATCAGCGAAATCACACTGGAGAAAAACCTTACAAATGTAACAAATGTGGGAAATCCTTTAGCCAAAGTACATACCTTATAGAACATCAGAGACTGCACTCTGGAGTAAAACCTTTTGAATGTAATCAATGTGGAAAAGCTTTCAGTAAGAATTCATCACTTACTCAACATCGGAGAATTCATACTGGAGAGAAGCCTTATGAGTGTATGGTATGTGGCAAACATTTCACTGGGCGATCATCCCTTACTGTACATCAGGTTATTCACACTGGAGAGAAACCTTATGAATGCACTGAATGTGGAAAAGCCTTCAGCCAGAGTGCATACCTTATTGAGCATCAAAGAATTCATACTGGTGAGAAACCCTATGAATGTGATCAGTGTGGGAAAGCTTTCATTAAGAATTCATCCCTTATAGTACATCAGAGAACTCATACAGGAGAGAAACCTTATCAGTGTACTGAATGTGGAAAAGCCTTCAGTCGGAGTACAAACCTTACAAGACATCAAAGAACTCACACCTAAGTACAGTGTTTACTGGCCCCTTCATCATGATTAACTCTTCAGTAATCAGATAAAGTCATGTTGAGGTAGACACCTAATAAAGGTAACAGTTGTGGGTAATTTTTAGTTGAAGTACAATCTACTATATTGGATAACATAGACCACAGCAGAGAAATCATATGGAAGTGAAGAAATCTTGATTCAAAAGTTAAAATGTACTTTTTAACAAAAGGTTTGAGTAAGTAATGTGTAAACAGTGAACATTTATACTCAAGGTAAGTTCTATTGTATCATACTGAAAATTCTCCTTGGGACATCTGAGATTTCACACTGGAGAGAAAATGTGTCAGTGCTTAATTGGATAGCCCACAGACCTGGTTTGTAGTCCTGACCTGCCGCTAACTTGGACAAGTTACTAACTTTTAGCAAGTCACAATTTTCTTACCTAGTAAATGAGAGATTTTGGATGTAAAAGGTCTGGGGGATCCCTATTAGCTAAAATGTTACAAACCATGATGCCAGGAAATCTTTGGCCTTTTACTCTGTTATGTATGTTGTCTAGGTGCTTCTTTTCCACAGTAAGGTTTCCTTGGATGTTTCAAGTCAAAATTTTCTACCTCTACCAATTTATAATGCCCTTTCATGTCCTTCTCTCTCTCCCTGAATTACTTTCTCCCTTAAAATGTAGGCTGATTTCTACCAGATAATAGAATAATTGTACAAATCTTAATGTAATAGCATGCTATTTTGAGTTCTTCATAGTCTTAAACTGTTGTTAAATTAGCTGATTATTTAGAAAACAACATAGTTTAATATTGTATTTAAGCACAGAAGAATCAAATAAATACATATCTTTATGTCGTATTCAGCTATCAGAATGATAGTTGATACCAGGGATTGAGCTCAGGGACACTGACCTGAAGGTGTGAACACTAAAAAATATGGAAATTTAGCATATTAACACAATATTTGCAACTCAAAACATTCAGAACAATCATAGGGATATTTTATAGATCTGTTATGATGATAGTGGCTTAATTTCATTTCTTTCACACAAATTTTCCAAGTCCTAAATATGGGCTACACATGATTAGTCAAAGTGATTTAAGATTCATTCTTTATTTTTAAAGGATAAACTAAGAAAGTGGCAGTATAATGGGATAGGAAAGGAAAAGTCAAGCAATAATTTATAATTTGGCACAATGTAAAAAAAAGCTGTAAAAACTGATTAGGTATGGCTAATTGAAATAGAAGGATGACTTAAATTTCTTATTTGTGTAGATTGGGATTCCATAATTAAAACCCCATAAATTAGCCATCTTTGTGCACCAATGATGTGTTCTGTTTGAAGGCATTTTGATGTGTCTCTGGAACATCCAAGAAAAGAGTCCTGAGAAGAAGTAGAATAAGAAGAGGGTCAGTGGTACAGGGCACACTGGGAGTACTGTCACTGGTGAGGAAAGTGAAGCAAAAGAGGAATCAGTGAAAGCTGAGAGAAATGAACTATCAAAAATAGAAACAGGAAAATCAGGAAGCAGTGAAACCACAGAAGTAAAAGGAAGTTTTTAATTTTTAAGGAAATAGTTAATATCAAATGCTTCAGAATAAAGTACTTTAATTTTTTATGGTTCTGGGGATTGAGTCCAGAGCCTTATGCATGAGGCAAGCACTCTACCAAATGAGCTGTATCCCCACCCCTGTACTTTGCTTTTTTGGGTGGGGGGAAATGAAGATTGGGTTTAGGGACACTCAGCCATTGAGCCACATCCCTGGCCCTATTTTGTATTTTATTTAAAGACAGGTCTCACTGAGTTGCTTAGCGCCTTGCCATTGCTGAGGCTGGCTTTGAACTTGTGATCCTCCTGCCTCAGCCTCCTGAGCTGCTGGGATTACAGGCTTGTGCCATCGTGCCCAGCTCTAACCTTTGTTTTTGATTATCAATTTAAAGCACATAAATTTTAATGTGTTTGAAGAGTGAGTTAAATGTTGAAAATGACTTAGTAGCTTTACTGATATAGGAGAGATTTAGAACGATGACCAAGGTAATGAGAGCTGAGAAGGGATTTACCTATTAGAAGACCTTTGGCTACAGATATTCAGAATCTCTCTTAACAATGTTTTAGGCAAGTAGGGGTGTTCTTCTCAAATGAAAAAAGTGGAGGTGGTCAGCATTGATCCACAGATAAAATAATTGAATGATTTACATTTCAAGGGATTTCCATCCTGGTTGCATGATGGCATCCATAGCTTCAGGTAAAATGTCTGCATTCAAATCAAGAAGAAAGGGTTTGAGAAGGACCAGCAACATCTGTGCCTTTTATCAGAAAAGATTTCCCAGAAGCCCGTTAGCACACACCTGCTTGCATCTTATGGGCCACAACTGTTACATGACCACTCCTAGCAGCAAGGGAGGCTAAAAAAAGGAGAGCCTAGCCCTTTCAGCCTTTGTAGTAGAGGTAGGCCAATTAAGGGGTTAGAGAATGGGGCTGATTTAGCCATCCATCTACTAGGGAGCGTTTGCATGATATAAGATAGGATGATTATGTTTACAACTGAAAAGAGGCATGAGAGAATCAGGAGACAGCAACGAGTAGATGTACAGCTCAGACGAGGAAAATAAGATTTGGCACACAGAGGCTTTAGGAATACTTTCAACAAGAGGAGGGAAACTTTCCAATAAGAGTGGTTGGAATAAATAAATCATGGGTCCAGAAAATGTGGGCAATAGTGGAGCAAGTGCCTATGAACTCTCATTGTTTAGCTCCTAAGCAGTCCAGAGTCTTGGGCAATCACTACTCAGGGTTAATATCTTACTACTAACTTCAACTCATTGACATCCAAAGCTTCAGCACCTTCATTACTTTCTCTCCCCCTTGTTTTGTGCCTTCCTTTTGAACCTTTATTTTTCTGCTGTCTTCGTCATTTTAATTTCTTTTCTACCCATCCATTCTCTGCCCCCCTTCTTCTTAATTCATCTCTTTCTCTTGAGATCAGGTGAAATACAAACATATGAAGGGAAAGGAGTAGAATGGATATAAGAAAGAGTAATTATTGAAAATCTAAGTTTTGGGGGATACAATTAGTTCAGTGTTAAATTCCTTCTTTGCCTGTTCAGACTCCATCAGTTTATATATGAGTATAGTCAAGGAGCCCCAGAATCAGCAGGATGAGTCAAGGGGTGTGTTTAAGCAGGAAATGGGGAAGAATAGTGGAGAAGCTCATGGCCAGTGATTTGCTCCATTCTCCTCATTCCTCTGTGCTTGAAATGAGAGAAAGGAGGATATTTATTTGTAAAACACCTGGATAGAATATTCAAAGTATAAGGGTCTGAGAGAGAATACCTTGGTTATAGCGTCCTCTTGTTAAACCCAGTCTTTACTTTGGTCTCAATTCTCAAGTAGAATTGTAACTTCTATAATATTTGAGGACTTTTTGTGTGTGCCACTTGAAATGCAGTATAGCCAGAGTCCGTGGCAACTGGGAACCATCATTAGCCAAGGATTTGTAGGTGCGCTCTCTCTGTGCCCTTCCCCTTGCCACTACTACCACCACCATATGGGCTCCCATTGCTGTGTTTTTCCATTATCTGTTACCTTGGCTTCCTTTACTTAAAATTAAATTCATGTGACCCAGAATCATCAGGTCTCCTATCTGACCCTTGTATCTCTCTAATTCTAAAATTTCATGAAAGAAACCTAATTGGTCCAGATCATCCTTTTAAGACAGGCTCTGTCTTGAAAGTCACTTTTTTGGCCAAGTATCTGTCCCTTTTCCAATCAGCTGGTGGGGTGGAGGCTGCCATATGGTCACTGTCAATGTTGTCAGGCCTATGAGCAGCAGACAGATAGCCATGACCAATATGCCTTTAGATATTTACTAAGTACCTTCTCAGTAGTTTCTGGGGATCGAGAGCCCTAAAGGAATTCATGGCAGGAGAGTCAGTAAAAGAGAATTTGGATGTATTGAATGACTTCTAAAGAGCAAGAAATGCAGGGTCCTCTGCAACTACACAGAATGGGATGATTAGTTATATTTTATCTGTAAATGAGCTCAAAAGACAAATTGGGCCATTTACACACTTAAATAGGTCAGCAATCTGGGTTCTGTAACACAGGTGGAGCAGCAGACTATGGTGCCAGTATCCCTCTTGTAAATAATGCATAAACAGCCCCCTAAACTTGGATGATCATGGAGACTGCATTGGGCTTCTAAAGACACACACACACACACACACACCAGATCTGGATGAGTGCTTAGGATATAATTGAGGTGGGTTACTTCCTTGTGTATATACACATTTGGCATAAGTTAGTTCATGTCTGCAGTCCACACACTTGATTGCTTTTGCACTGTACATTTGAACAACAAGTATGATAAGATACTGCTCCTACTCATAGTGTGTAAGTCAGCTCCTATCGATTCTAGGATGAAAGACCCCTAGTCCCTACTGCAAAGTAGCTCCTAGCACAGGGTACCATTGGAGAGAGCCAGTTGGTGCAAAGAAGACAAGGGAAATGGGAAGTTGGGGGGGGGAGTGTGTGTGGTAAAAAAAGGTGTAACTACAAGAAGGCTAATACAGTGTATATTTAGGGCGTTAAGTAGAAGGAAGTTATAGGAAGTGAAGCTAAAGGAAGCTTTTACTACATCCTTACCGCAGGGGTCTTGTAACAGGGTTTAGCAAACAAACGTAGGAACTAGCCATTATCCTGAGGAAGGGTATTTAGAGTTGATAAAGGTGTTGGTGGAATAAAATCATCAACAAAACCCCAAATAGAATGCTGTGGTGTCACATAAAGTCATTGACATTGCTCCCTAAAAGGTGGCCAACAATTCCTTCAGTGACAAATCTCAAGTGACATTCTTGCCTTTTTAATTTTATTTTACTAACAACAAAGTTAAAACCCTCTAATCTTTCCTTCCTGAGCTCCATGAAAGTCATGTATTCAAATGCAACTAAATATCTCCAGTGGAATATTCTTACACATCACTGCATCCTCAATAAAAGTAAACACCAACTTCTAAACATTATCCAGTTGTTTAAGAATAAGACTCATTGGGATCCAAGTTCCTTCCTCTCCCTCAGCCCTGTTTGATAAGTTATCAAGACCTAATCTTGGGCATTTATCAGTACCATTCTGGGTTCCCTCAGTCACCAACCGGGTTCAAGCTGCCATCAGCTCTGTTCTGAGTCGTAGTCTGCCCTGCTCTACGGGCCTTCACCCCAGTGTCCCTGTCCTCGCACTAGAAGAAATTTCCTCCCACTAGAAGAAATTATCGTGGCGTCTCAGAATCCACGCCCTGGTCCTACTGCAGGGCCAGATGGGTAATATCCAATGCTTCTTCGGCGCAAAAGGCGCAATCCCGCCAGCTTTTCGAGTCTTTATGGCACCGTTCTCCAAGAACGTGCCATTTGGCTCTCCTACAGTCTCCGGAGACCTTAACCGATCCGCTCTTGTCACCACATCAGGTGCCGCTCCGCTGGACTCTCCCTCGTCCCTGATCAACTGTTCCTGGTGTATAGTTTCCCGGGCTTTATTTCAAGGTAGAGGCCCACGCCAAGTCTGCACAGAACGGAACAGAATCCGTGCACAGCTGTTATACGTGGGGGTTTAATTGAATGAGGGGAAGGAGCATGCACCCACCGAGGCTCCTGGGAAACGTAGTTCAGCATCCCAAACCGCTAGACCCGGGCGCTGGAGCGCAGATCATGGTCTGCGCAGGCGCACACCATCATTTTCTCCGCCAATTCTCCTGGGAAGTGGAGTCCAGCAGCCCCAGCTCAGCCGACCTAAGGCTTGTGGGAATTCGGCTCCGTGGTTCCCAGGGCAACGCGCAAGCGCAGTGCAGATCCAGGCTGCAGACTCCTGCTCATTGTGTTCTGACTGCGATGTGGTGGTTGCGGTTTCTCGCTACCAGCGGAGGTTTCTGCAAGGGCAACCCAGCAGCGACCAGGCACGGTGACCAAAGTCGCAAAGGGAGAGCGGAAGCAGCTGTGGGGTAGTCAGGTCTGGGAAGAAGGGCGGAAGGGAAACCGAGGATTTCTGGGTTGTGGTCCATTCTGGAGGATAATGATCAAACGCCCCAAACTTTCCAGAATGTATGTCTGAGATTTGATTCCAAACGAGGGGGAATAAAAAAAGTAGGACGGTCTGGAATGGGCATCTTGGGCTTGGGGTTCGAATGTGAGTGCTTGTGGAGGACCATGGGGCGGGGCCTCTAGCATGTCTTGGAGCGGACCCCGGAAAGCCCATTTATACTTAGGAGATAGGTGTATTCCTGATGCGTTTCAGAGCTGTGCATGAGGAACTTGCCTAGCGCAGGGACAGCTGCAGTGCAGCCCTTGCAGTAGCTCCCCGGAGTACCTAATGAAGCCGCCGAGGGTGATTTCAGGAAGGACTCTTGATCCCTTACTCCTTTCTCACCCAGCTCCAACAAATACACTGTTTCTGGCCTGCTTTTGGTTCCAGGTCGCCCAGATGGCCCCAGAGAAGGGCTTAGCCTAAGAGAGATACATACACAATGAAGATCTACTTACCTTGCCTCCTTTTTCAGGAGGAAGTTCACCCCCTTCCCTATTCCTTCTCTCCTTCAAGTTAGCTGCCCTAGGAGGAGAGACAATTTCTTGACTCCTCAGCACTGCTAAAGCAGTAAAGGACAGAGGATGGGTAGAAAGTGTGAGAGCTGGCAGTGGAGCAGGGCTTTCTGCAAGAAGTCCAAGTATTGAAATATGGAAGGGAGGGGCTGGGGATATAGCTCAGTTGGTAGAGTGCTTGCCTTACATGCATTGAGCTGTGGGTTCAAACCCTAGCACCATCCAAAAAAAAACTTCATTCCCTAAAATATAGAAGGGAAAGCATGGAGTTTTTGACTAAAGGAAAGATGTGACGAGGGGAAAGTTGCATGGTGAGCAATTCACTTAACAGTGGAGGGAAAGAAAATTGCTTTCAGAAGCAGGAAAGAAAATTGGGAACAAAGAAAGACCAAAGAGTTCATAGCTTTGGGATACAGGGGGACTCCCAGGATATGAATGCTTACAGACTCACTCCCAGATGCTATGTGGTATTTTTTGACCCAGTCCTCTCCTCATAACAGGTTTCTAGACATTTCTACTCTTAGGAATCCTGCAGTTGCAAAGCTGCCCACTTGCCTCCTCAGCACTTTGCCTTTCCCTAAGAGGGCTCATCAAAGAAGGAATGGCTGTCAGTTACCTGCCCAACATAGTCCAGGTGAGTGAGAGAGTGTTGCCTAAATTGCCTTCTAGATATGAAGAGTGTGAAGCTGTTGTTTTCCCTGAGTTGGAACTTTACTTCCACACTAGTCTCCCCCAGACACTTGACCCCAGTCACTCCCTCCCTACTCTTATTGGGCTCTTGGTAGTGGGTATTGGAGTTAAGTAACTTGTTATAAGGTCATCAATGGCACAACTGGAACTGGAACGCAAGTTTGTTTGAAATAAAAATCTTTCCACTAGCAAAAGCTGGCATTTACTAGAAAGATACTGAGGTATCTATCTAAAGACAAAGACAAAGATACAGCTGGACTTTTGCTGTGGAAGTGGGTTTTAGAATAACCTAAAAGTCCTTTCTGTTAGACCCTTAGCTTTCTTTTCTGACTTCAGCTTAACTCTTTACAGTGTATACCAGCTCCTTTGGCTCTTCTGTTGGCCAAGAAGACCAGTGATGTGAAAGTTGTTGACTTTTACATGTTAGATTGCATATACTTGATAAAGACTGCTTCTTCTCTGTCCTTGTTACAGAGTTTCAAAGAAAGGGATTATTTGTAGTTGAGGGGACGTTGTCCCAAGGTACAGAATTACTGTTTACATGGGACATAAGTGTGTATGCGTGCATGCTTGCACATATGTTGGGGGTGGGCAGATGAGCAGTTGAAGAAAAGCAGGAATTGTTGAAAAACAAATACAGTTTATATCACTTAACAATAGAACACATTCTGAGAAATGCATCCTTAGGCAATTTTACCCTTTTATTTTTCTCTAACATAAAGAGTATTTGTGCAAATCTAGATGGTCCAGATCAGTCACTCAGTGTGGCATCTTGATACAATGAAGAGATTCAAGAAACACTAGATATATGAGATTCTTGCCAGCATTAACACAGCATACTGTTTTATAGTAAACCAGTTGTACACTCTAAAATAGTGATAAAAAATATAATATAGTGAATACATTAATCAGTAACATGGTTGTTTATCATAATTATCAAATATTAGCACAGTATAGTATATATTAGTACTAGACTACATATACTATACTGTTATATGACTAACAGTGCAGTAGGATTGTTTACACCAGTATCACCACAAACACAAAAGTAATATGTTGTGCTAAGATTTTATAGTGGCTATAATATCACCAGGGAATAGGGATTTTTCAACTCCATTATAATCTTATGGGAACACCTCTGTATGCACAGTCTGTCATTGACCAAAAACATCATTACGTGTTGCATGACTATAATAGGTGCTGACTCCTCAAACCATAATGTAGATACTAAGAAAATAAAGGAGATATAGAACTGTTAATGCCTTCTTGAAAATAGGCAGTGAGGGAGACCGAAAGTAAACCAAAAATCATAATAAAGTGGGCCACTACTTTGATGGGCCCACATAGGTAACTGTAGAAGCAGTCAGGGAAGGCTGTGCTGAGGAAGGAATGTCCAAGCTGAGACCTAAGTAGGATTTGGTCATATGAGGGAGGCCAGAAGCAGGGCTGGGCAGATTGAGGGAGATGAGAGAAAATGTTGAGGGCAAAATGAAGAGCAAGTGTATGGTCCCAGTGCTCAGTCACTACTATCTATCTCTTCAAAACGGAGGAAAAACTCTTAATACAAAAATAAGGCTTTCAGAAACCTAGAGGAAATGCCTAACCTGTCCCAGTATACCAGCTCCCTATAGCTAATAGTCCTGTGAATCTTAACAAGCTCCTGGGGACAGCCAGTCTCAGCTTCCCCAGAATAGCCTCCGGTCAATAAGAATGGATTTGCTATTACAGGACTCGGTGACCTTCAAAGATGTGGCTGTGCTTTTCACCCAGGAGGAATGGGGGCAACTAAGCCCTGCCCAGCGGGCCCTGTACAGGGATGTGATGCTGGAAAACTACAGCAACTTAGTCTCATTAGGTAAGGTGGGAGCCTTGAAAGATTTATCTTCACTTTTGGGGATCTTGTTAGGACCCTTAAACTGAAGCCACACTAAAGATTGGGTTGGAAATGGGCCAATTAAGGATGTCATCTTCAAAGCTGCTACTTGCCTATCCTTGGTGTCCCCAGGCTTTTAGAGTCTCAAGTAGAAATGCCTCAAAAGTGGCTAGGAGTCAAATTCTCCCTGAACTCTGAGCAGGGTGGGGCCTGGAAGCAGATTGTCAGACCTGAGCCACTTCTTTCTCTCACTGTGAACATATTGTCCACCCTGGATCTTCCTATCAGATTATCTTTGCCAGGAAGTTCTGAGGACCAGGCCTCAACCTTGCAATGTTTTTTTATCACTATTATGAACAGATTGGTCCATTTTTCCCCCTCAAAAACAGGACTGTTAGGACCCAAACCAGATATATTTTCTCAACTGGGAAAAGGGGAAGAATGGATCCCAGAGGACACCTCAGGAGACTTCTCTCTTGGTAAGAATCACAAGTATGGGGACCTTGGGAGGGACCCAAATGGTCAGGGTTAGGCATGAAATCTCAACTAACATGCCAGGCCTGTTGCTGCATATGTCTCCCAGCATGCATTGCCAAATTGTGGCATGCCTTTCTTGTGCCAGTTTGTGCCTCTCTGAACCCTCCTCCCATGATTTCTTTTTTCTCTCCTTGTTTGGCATAGATGAATAGTTTCAGTTTTAGAAAATATCATCTGGGCCGTTGTTCCCCAACCCCATGCTTGAGCTTCCTCTACTACATCTGACAGTATAATGTCTACTGAAACGTCTCTAGTGGGAAGGAACCACACAGCAGGGCAGCTTAAAGGCCAGTTAAATGCCTATTAAGCTCCTCTCTTTCTAGCAGAACATTGCACATTTCTTCAACTACCTCATATTTCTTCATCCACATGGATATACATTAAATCAAGATTTCATTGTCCTCTACCTTTTGCCAGGCACTGTGCTAGAGAGTTTGGTTTGTCATATCTTTTGCTGTATTGCTCATGCCTAGTATAATGCTTGGCACCTGGTAAGTGGCATAGACCTTTTGCTTGGGATTTCAGAGAATACAGCAGTTTAGTGGTATTGCTTGTCCTAAGGAGTCCATTGGGTCTGGGGACTTACGGGTAGGGGGTGCATCTTTCCATGGTCACCTGATATTCAAAAGGCTTATTCCTTTATTTTAAAACACTATAATATTGCACTTTCAGCTATCATTTTGCATCCTATAAAATATATTTGCAAACCTTTAATTATTTATTTTTTCATAGTAACCCATTGAAGTAGGCAGGAATTTATATCCTATAGTAAATAACTGCACACCTGGAATGTCTGGGACTCAATCTTATTTTCAAAACTCAGTTATCAAAATCCTTTAAATTACTACAATAGAATTCTGAATTTTCTCTGAGTTTCTATGTTGTATTACAACCAAACAGGTATTTTTAATGTTTCATTCTATATTATACAAATGAGTTATAACCAGCAAGCAAGGGAAAGGGGATTCAGAAAAAGAAATTTATCCACAATTCTATCACTCTGATATAACTGCTTTTATTTGAATCATTTAGTTAGCCATTTACTCATCATTAACACTAATTTCCTATTGTGCTGGAGCAGTATAATCAGGAAGACTATTTTTTTGAAAGATGTTTATGCCTAGAAGGGTTTTATAGTCAGGTGTAGGTGATAACATGAAAACACCAACAGTAATAGTTCAGTTCCTCCCAGATCCTTTTCCCAGTCATGGAAGGTGTATTATTTTGTATCTTTCAATAAAACTCAATAGTTTTCCTCCTACTCCATTTCTCATTAAAATTATAATTTATATGTACATTTTTAATAGAACTATCACCTCTTTTGTTTTTTTAAACTGGAAATTCTGCTATAAAGAAATGTTAATCCTAACCAGGCATGGTGGCTCATGCCTGTAATCCCAGTGGCCAAGAGGCTGAGGCAGGAGGATTGTGGGTTCAAAGTCAGCCTCACAACTTAGTGAGGCCATAAGAAATTTATGAGACCTTGTCTCTTAATGAAATATATTAAAAAGAGCTGGGGATGTGACTCAGTGTTTAAGCGCCCCTGGGTTCAATCCCAGTACCAAAAAAAAAAAAAAAAAAAAAGAAAAAGAAAAAAGAAAGAAAGAAAAAGAAATACTAATCCTTTCCAGGTGCATATTACCCTCTTGTCACTCTAATTCATATTCATTTTTAAAGTGTTTACACAATTTGTTTTTAGTTTTTCTAATTTCTGTTTCATTTCTTAATGACTGTTTAGGACTCCAAAGACTATATAGAATAATAATAGGATTTATTTCTGATTCTCAAAATATAGATTAAGCATCCTTAATCCAAAAATTCAAAATCTGAAATGCTCCAAAATCCCCCAATTTTTTGAGTGCTGGCATGCTGGGCCACAGTAGAAAATTCCACACTTGATTTCATGAAACAGGCCACATTAAAAAATGCAGGTACACTAAAAGTATCGTATTAAATTACCTTCTGTCTGAATTTCATGTTTAAGTGTGGATCCCAACTCTAAGGTATCCCATTATGTAAATACAAATCCAAAGAAATCTAAAACACTTCTGGTCCCAGGCATTTCAAATAAGCGCTACTCACCATGTATTCTGTCTAGAACTTTTTCATTGTTGCACACCTTACTCTTAGTTTAGAATAGACAGTTATTTTTAATCATGGTAAGAAAAAGTCCTTCAGAGAGTTTTCTTTTTTAATTTTTCTGTTCTCTGGGCCATGAGGTAGTAAAGGGAGGAGAGAGCTAATATGTGAGCATTATACCTGGTGATTTTGCAGGAAATATGTATTTGCTGCCTATTTAATCCTTACAACCTGTGAAGCAAGTACAATGAATCCTGTTTCACAGATAACTGAACCTGAGGGGGATAACTAATCTGAACTGATTTATTATTGCTATTAAGTGGTAAGTCAGGATTGGCAAAAGGCCAGCATGAGATCTATCAGCTGTTAAAATTTGCATTTTCTTTCCTTCTCCAAAATAAGTATAATTACACAGAAATTGTTTATTTCATAAATTCAGAAAACGAAAGGCTACC